CCAAGTCCCCATGGCTTTAGAGGGATAGAGGGAGGCTGCTGAGCTGCACCAGCTCAGATTCTTCTTCCCTTAGTACATGCAAGATGCAACCAGTTGAAGCAAGTGATCAGCTTAACAGATCGCAGAACAGAAAAGTGGGAGATGCCCAGGTGCAGCCCCCTGGTGCTGAACACCAACCCTCCAGAACAGGGGTCTCTAAAGGCACTACCTCTGATATCTGGAACCACTCCAAATTCTGTCCAGTCTGTGGACAAGACCATGGCTGCCAGGTGAGCCCCTGCCGAGTGCCCACACAAGTAAATACCCCTAGAGAGAAGGAGCCATAAGCAAATGCATGAAGAAAGAGCACATCACATGCTGTGCCCCAGAGGCTGCAGACTGGCCATATTTCCCAGTCCACCAACTGAGCCATTGTACAGTGACAAAGGAGTACAGTCAGTGGTGCTGCACCAAGGCACTGAGGTCTTTATCATAACTCAGGGCTTTCCCCACCCCATCCTGTTTCTGTCACAGCCATCCCAATGCAGTAATCCACCCAGGGAGCAACAGAGGCACAGTCTGCCTGAAAGACCAGACAGAAGCAGTAGAGGCTGCTGGCACAGGGGACAGGGACACCAGGCACTGTGTGCTGCCCACCTGATCCTGTGGTACTGCTTCACCAGGAAGGCAAGGCTGCGCCGCACCTGGAGCACCATTGCATCTATGTGGCCTGGGCAGAGTGCAGAGTCAGGTGGGCACCAGACCATCAGGGGAAGTCATGGCCCCCATTGGGCCCTGCCTACCTTTGGGAGCGATGTCGTAACCAATGGCCACCACTGCAATGCCCTGGGACAGCAGTGCAGGGGCTGCGAAACCCGATGCGTCCTTACTGGGGAGGGGAGAGAGAAGCTGCCGAGCTCCAGAGGACAGACAGATGTCCTCATGGGGCTGGCTGGGGATGGCCATTGGGTCCAGGATACCAAAGTCTGTGTTTAGTGTTGTTCTCTAGAGAAGGAAGATGTAAAAGAGACCTGGCAGCTCCCTTCTCAAGGGAGCCCATATCAGAAGTCTGTCTTACCTCAAGCACTGCCAGTATCCACCATGGATGTAGACAAAGACCGGGAAAGCTGCACAGCACAGCACAGGTAAGCACGCAGACATGACCTCAGGCCCCCAGTCACAGTGCCCACCACCTACTTTCAGAAGAGTCCCCGGGAAAATAAATGTCAAGCTTCTCCCCATCCCCATCTCCATAGGGGACGTGCAGTGAGGTCCGTGCAGCAGCCTGGGCCTTCTGCGTTCCTGCAGGGCCGGGGGAGAATCAGCCCGTATGCAGCACCACAGCTCGTGGTGAGCTCTGCAGGCCCGGGTTGGGGCCGTGCCCATCTGGAGCTCACTCCCACCTGCGGTCATCACATCGATGTGTGCCTGGATGACGCTCTCGCTGTCCATACGGCGGGACCAGCGGCTGGGCGAGTACTGCTTCTCCAGCTCCTGCGGGCACACGGACGCGGTGCTGCAGGAGGAGGGCGGCCGGACCCGGGGCGCCGGAGGAGGCTTCGGCCCGGCCAGGCCCCGCACCTCCAGACCCATGTCCTGCCACCGTCCCATCTCCTCTTCGATCACCCGGCCCCGCTGCCGCTGGCGGCCGGGCCGGGTCGGGGCACTGGGCGGGGCCGTCCCTCGGCCATTGGCCTCCGGGGGTCGGGTCGGGCCGGGCCGGGCCCGCAGCCATTGGCCGCCGGGACACGCCGGGCCGGGCCGGGAGCTGAGGCCTCTGACCCCGCGGTCGAGGCGATGACGTAAGAGGCCCGCGCGGGGCACGCCGGGAAGGCGGCTCGCTCCGCGGGAGCGCGGAGAGAAATGAGAAATCTCCCGCCTGCGCTCGGATTGGTCGGCGCTGCGGGGTAACTCTGCTCGGATTGGCCGGCGGCGGCGGTCCGTGGACGCGAGGCTGTCGCGGATTGGCCGGCCCGGCGGCGCGCGCGCGGGCTGTGAGTCAGTCGGTCGGTCGGTCAGTCTGTCTGTGAGGAGCGGCGCGAACATGAGCTGTCTGACCGTGCCCGGCGTACATCCCGGCTCACCCAGCCGCCCGCGTGGGCAGATCCAGGTACCGGCCGGGGCGGGGCCGCTGGGTGTGGGCGGGGCTGGGATTGGTGGGGCCGGGTCGGCTGTGAGGGGATGCCGAGCGCCGGGGCTGCGTGGCACCGGTAGTGCGGGGCCGGGCCGGGGATGGCTCCGTGCCGCGGCTGTGCGGGGCGACGGGGCGGCCGTGCTGGGACGGGTGGGGGCTGAAGTGCTGCAGCGCTGCAGCGGGGCGACGGCGGGCCGGCACCTCACCACTGACCGTGTGGCTCTGCCTCCAGGTGATCTTCGGCCCCATGTTCTCTGGGAAGAGGTAAGGCGGGGCGGGATGGGCTGGGCTGGGCTGGAGCCGGCTGTGGCTGGGCCTGCTGACTCCTGCTCTCTCAGCACAGAGCTCATGCGGCGCGTGCGGCGCTTCCAGCTCGCTCAGTACCGGTGTCTGCTGGTGAAATACGCCAAGGACACCCGCTACTGCACCACCGGCGTCTCCACACATGACAGGTGGGCTACGGGCAGGAGGATCTGTGCTCTTGGACCTGTGGCCAGGCTGTCTGGCTCACTCTCTCCCTCTGTTCCCCCTCAGGAACACCATGGAGGCCCGCCCTGCCTGTGCCCTTAAGGATGTGTACCAGGAGGCGCTGGGCTCTGCAGTCATTGGCATTGATGAAGGGCAGTTTGTAAGTGTGTGGCCAGGGCAGGACCTGGGGTGTGCACTGCTAGACCTGGAGCAGAGCACTGCCCCTTCTTCCTCCTGAAGCTGCTGTTTCTGTACCTCCTGTAGTTCCCAGACATTGTGGAGTTCTGTGAAAAGATGGCCAACGCTGGGAAAACCGTCATTGTTGCTGCTCTTGATGGGACTTTCCAGAGAAAGGTAACATGCTTTAGTTTTAGTACATCAGCTGCACTGGGAATCTCACCAGACTCAACCAACAATACAGCCTCTGTCTCGGTGCAGGCTTTTGGGAGCATCCTGAACCTGGTCCCGCTGGCTGAGAGCGTGGTGAAGCTGAACGCCGTGTGCATGGAGTGCTACCGAGAGGCCTCCTACACAAAGAGGCTGGGAGCAGAGAGGGAGGTGAGTTCCCTTGAAACACAAAGCTTTTCAGCAGCTTCACCTTGCCAGCTCTGCTAGTCTAGAAAGGATCTTCTCAGGTAAGCTGATCTCTGCAGAGTCATTCTTCTGATTTCCTTGATAGGTTGAAGTGATTGGAGGAGCAGACAAATACCACTCTGTCTGCCGAGCTTGCTACTTCCAGAAGAGGCCTCAACAGCTTGGGTCAGAAGACAAGGAGAATGTGCCCATGGGGGTGAAGCAGCTGGATATGCCAGCCTCACGGAAGATCTTTGCTTCTTGATTGCTATGCTCCAGTGTGGAGGGAAGGACACAAGGAAAGAAGGTAAATGTTGCAGCTCCTGGACTTCAGATCTGGCCTCCCCCCCTCTATCAAAACTGTCAGATGTCATAGCTCTACCTGCCAAACCAAGCTGCTCTTCCCCTGCTCCAAGTGCCAGGAAAGAGGGCAATCAGTTGGACCTGATGCCAGGGGGAGCTGAAAACAGAGTCTGACTAAAAGGGAGTTCCTTTTCCAGAACATGGAAAAGAGATTTAATTACTGACGCTGCCATACAAACGTGCTGGAAAAGCTGGAAAGCCGCCACACCAACCCAGGCTGCGGGGCACTGACAACTTGCCTGGTCTGCTCTCCTGCTCCTGGCACACGTTCAGACTCGCCACTGGTAGCCAGGTCACTTACCTGCAAACAGCCTCTTCTCTCATGTGCTGCTGCTAAATTCTGGGTTTCTGATGATACTGTACAGTAATTTGGCTTCCGAAAGCCACTTCCTTTTTAATATAGCCTGAGGAGATGCCCCTTCCCTTTTTATAGAACAGTGGCACAACTTCAACTGACACAGAGCAGCAGCCTGGCCTTCTGCAGTCTAAACAATTGTGTATAGCCAATTAGCTTGCTGTTAAATTTGTTGTAAATACGTTTTTTGTTTTTGCTGTTTTTAAATGGAGGAGGGGAGAAGGAAGGCTTGTCTTGTCAGCCTGACTCCTAGGCTCATTCTAGCCTTTGAAACTAAAAAGGACTTTCTGCACAAGTTCGAGCTTGGTGCAGCCAAGCCTTTATAAGGCATAAGTGACCTGTGGAAGGTTTGGGGGATCAGGAATTAAACTGTAGGGAATTGGACTACTGTTCCTGTGAAGATCCAGCTACCTGGAAAAGGGTCTTTTCTTTGAGTAGATGGTTCTCAGTTCTAGTCATGTGTTTTGCTTCCTTCTCAACTTTTCAAGAATTCTTGAGCCTGCTGCTTTCCTTGCTGTAACACCTGAAGAATCCTCTCCCTTTACTTGACTTAGCTTCTGGAAAGAATTTTTACTACTCATATAAAGTGCTTTTTCTCATCAGATTCCTTGAGCTCTGAGCAGTAGCTCTTGGTTCTGGTTGGGCTTTGGTCAATCCCCTCTCAAATACAGTGCTCTCTACAATACTTGTTTACTACTGTACTGAGGAGCAGGCAGCTGCCCAGGTAGTTAGAAGACTCTGAAACCTCACTTCCTTGGTGTTAACTAAAGCAATTACAGCCACAGTGTTCACAAACCCTTGTCAGGCCTGGGCTTTCCTCTTAGGGATGAGGAACATGCAGTAGTGCTTGCATTCTAGATTAATAAATAACTTAATAAAATTGCCTGTGTTTTCAGAGCAGTCTGGTGTGTGGCTTTCCTGTTCACAAAGCAGTAGTGTGTGCTGGCTGCTGGTCACACGGCACTGATGTTGCTCAGGCTGTCCTGAGGAGCAGCAAGCCTTGCTAAAAATAGGTGCTGGCGTGAGCTTGTTGTTGATAGCGCAACAGGCACCAGCTCCCCCCGTGGAGCCCCCCCAGCACACAGCAGAGGGGAAGAACCCAGTACTTCAGAGAAGAAACACAGGTGGTGGCTAGGTGAAAAAGTTTATTCCATCTCTACAGTGATAAAGGCATAGTTGAATATCAGCCCCAGCAGCTACAGCTCACATACCTCACACTGCTGCTGGGAACAGCTTCACAACAGGCACAGCAGCACACAACCTGAGACAAGCCACAGCCCACGTGGAGGCACAGCACAGCACCCAGCCTGGGGACAGTGGCTGCTGAGCAGGGCACGGCTCGGACAGCAGTGAGCAGGGCATGGGGAGACCCCCGCAGGGTTCAGTGTGAGACAGACACAGGGCCTGCAGTTGGCAGGGAGGTGCTCTGGGGGGAAGGGAGCTGCCCTGCTGTGAGCCCAGCACCCACCATTCCCACGGATCCCAAACCACCGAGTGCCAGCTGCTCCCGTGCAGGCTCTGGGGAAGGCACAGCACAAGGGTGCATATTCAGAAGATGAGGCTTTGGCATCAAGCTCGGCCAGCAGCAGCTGAAGGAGGGGAGGAAGGCATGCAAACCCAGTGGCAGGCAGGAGCTGGACTGCACCGTGCAGCTGTGCTGGGACAGATGCTACAGCAGTTAAAGGTGGCACCTGGGGACTGCAGTCAGCAGAGCTGGCCAAGGCAGCAGCACCAGGAGGGAACAAGGGGTGCTCACCGTTACTCCCCCAGAGGCACAGCAGTGGGGCTCGGGCTCAGCCGTTCCAGAGCACCAACTCTCCCCCTCTCCCCCTAGAGGAGCTGGCTGTGCACAGCAGGTTCTACTCAGCCATCACTGCTTCACAGCAAGGAGCACATGGCTCCACCATAGGCACCAGGCCCTACCCTCTGCCCCAGCACCCACCCAACCCCAGTGGTCTTCACACAAAGCAACCATCACCCTCCTGCCCCCTTCCCCGTTCAAGTTATAGGTCCCTCCCTTCCCACCCCGCAAGAGAAAATTGCACTTGTACAGCCATCCCTGTGGGCTGGGCTCAGTACACCGGTGGTGGCTGGTAGCCCTCGGTGGCATCTGCGGTCTGGGTGAAGGGTGGCTGCTGGTAACTGTCATGGCTGATGTTGGGGTAACTGGAGTACGGTGTGGAGACCTCTGGCGAGGGGTCGACGTAGCTGTGCGCAAAGTCCTCCACCCCCATCTTATACCGCTTGTAGGCGAAGGTGATCAGGAGGCCCTGCAGAAGGCAGAACCTGTCAGAGCCCGGCGCTAAGCAGAAGACCCCCGCGGAGCCCCCCCAGCACTCACCCATGAGAAGATGGAGAAGAAGCTGAAGGTGATGGCGGCACGCGCCGAGTCGGCCACGATGCGCACGTCCTCATCGTGTGTCCAGGCCCATTGGTTGGTCAGGAAGCAGAAGCCGACAAACCAAAGGAAGGTCCAGAGCCCTGCGGGGGGGAGGGGGGGGAAGAGGGTGTGAGGGCTGCATCCTGCTGCTCCCAGAGCCCCGATGCTTCCGGAACCCCGCCGCTCCCCGGGGCTGGCAGCACACGGCCCGCAGGCACCGTGCCAGCGGCAGCTCCTCGCGCCAGGCACCGCGCAGCCACGTCATGGGACTGCCATTGCCGGGAGCCCGGCCCAGGCCGTACCCGAGAAGCCGAGGTCGGCCAGCACCAGGTACTTGCGGTCGGTGGCGTTGCTGATCTGCGGGAAGTAGGCATCCACCATGAAGAAGAAAATGCAGGCCAGGAAGGCGAGCACGCCGATGCCGATGCCGTAGCGGCAGGCATTCTCGTTGTGGTTGAAGACGCAGTAGAGCTGCGAGGAGCGGGGCGAGTTGGTGTAGCCCTCCCCGACCAGGCAGGCGAACACGATCAGGGCGAACACCTGCGGGGCGGCAGCGGCGGCGTCAGGGGGCGGCCCCAAAGCAGAGGGGCCCCGTCGGGGGCTGCCCGAGCCCCGCACCGCCCCGAGCTCAGCTGAGTGCCCCGTGACTATGGCCGGGCACGGGGAGAAGGCCGCGGGAAGGAAAGGAAGGGAAGCACAGCACAGCACAGCCGCGCCGGGCCGGACCGGGCCTCGGAGAGGCGGGGAAAGGGAAAGAGAAAGAGAAGGGAAGGGAAGGCCGGGTTCGGCCGCACGACGCAGCAGCGCAGCAGCGCAGGGCCGCCCCGGCCGCACTCACCGCGCTGGCGATGCGCGCCAGGACCTGCGGCTGCTGCACGAAGCGCACCGGGTCGAAGGCACCGCCGGCTTTGGCCGCCCCGTACGCGCCGCCGCCCTCCATCGCGCCGCCGCCGCCGCGCTACGGCCGCTCCTGCGCGGCACCGCCCCGGGAGGGCCGGGCGCCGCCGCCGCCGCCACCTGCTGGGGCCGCCCCGCCCCGGCTGTGCTGGGAGGGGCTCCGGCGGGGGGGACCGGCGCCGGCGCGGCGGGAGCGGCTCCACGCGGTAGCGCTGATCTGCCCCGCGGCCCGGGCTGCTGGCGGTGCGGCTCCCGGGGTCCGGCGGGCACCACGCGGCTCCCGCTCCTCGTGACCGCCCCGCGCCTCCCGGCGTGCCCTGCCCCGCGCCGAGATCCGGCCCCGCGCCTACGGGTGCGGTTTGTGTGACTGTCCCGGCGGTACGGAGCGCCACAGCAGCCCTGCCCCGCGCCCTGCCCCGCGCCGCTCGTTGCCGCCCCGTGCCTGGCACCGGGAGCGCGCACGCGAGACGCCGCTGTGCCGTGCCCGCCGCCCCGGGACGCCGCGGGGAGCTCCGGACGCGTCTGCGGCGGCCGCTGGAACCGGGTGCGCTGCCGCGGGTGCCGGGGGAGCGCGGCGGGTCGTGGCCCGGGGCCGCCTCCTGCCCGCAGCCTTTGTCTGCGCGGGGCGGGGAGGGGACGGGGGCGAGGATGGGGACGGCGCTCAGCTCCATAGGGCCGTCAGTGGTGGCGGCCGGGATCCGCAAGGAGGGGAACGAGCTCTGTGCTGCGGCCTCGCGTGCTCGGGACCTGGGAGCGGCCGTCCCGCCGCATCGAACGGATCCGAGCAGGGCGCTGCGGGCTCTCGGCCCCCGGTGGCCGCGCCTCGACGAGCGCTCGCCCCGCATCCTTCCGTGTGCGCTCCTCCCTCCTTTCCTTCCTTCCTGTCTCGCTGCTCGCTCAGTGCCTGGGCCGGCAGGGACCCGGCGGACCCTCAGCCCCGGCTCTGTGCCACGGGCGGGACGCGGGGCTGACGGCGGTGTTCGCTGTGCAGGCAGCGTACGGGAGACAGTGCGGCTCCGGGATGTCCCAACTGCCTGCCTTCACTCTTCGAGTCCCTGAGAACGCTGAGAGCGATGGGTGAGTGTGGTCTAAGCACCGCGGGCAGAACCACTCGGACCAGAGCTGTCCCGGAGCTTCATGTCCCCCATAGCCGAGTGGGGGTTTCAGCTTTGTGCCCTTGCAGCCAGGAGCCGAGCCCGGACAATGAGGGAGCCCTGCACAGCTCCTTCTGCCAGCTTATCGAGGAGCAGAGCAGCCTGGTGGCAGGGGCGATAGAAATGGAGCTGCAGGAGAGGAGCAGAGGTACAAAACGGAACTGCAGAAGTGGGGGGTGAGGGGAACAGTCCTGTACGCCTCAGATCTCACCCCACATCCTCTCTCTCCTCCCCAGAGCCCTCGGCTCTCCTGCCTCCCCTGGACCCCATCGCCTCTACTGGGCTGGAGCTGGAGCAGGGTGAGCAGCACCCCGGCTACGCCACCACCCTTCGCATCCTGGCCAACATGCCCAGCCGCACCATTGGTGAGTGCCACCCCCTCTCTGTGCCACCTCTGTGCCCTTCCTGCCTGGGCTTTGCCATGCTGTGAGCCCTTCCAGGAGTTTTCCCTAAGGCCGCCCATCCCAGTGCCGTGTTCGTGCCGCAGGGCGCAGCCGTGGGGCCATTATCTCTCAGTACTACAACCGCACGGCGCGGCTGCGGCGTCGGAGCAGCCGTCCATCCCTGCAGCAGCTCAACCGCACAGCACGGCCCAGCCTGCGGCAGTACGACCTGGAGAGTGACCCAGCCCATGCCACGCTGGCAGGTGAGCATTCTCCTGGAGCGGGGCTCAGGATGGGCAGGATGCCTCTTGTTGGGTGCGTCCCTCTGAGACTCTCTGCGTTCAGACAAGCAGAGCCTGCTGGCAAAGGAGCTGTTGAGCCTCCCACCTGCACAGCGTAGCCAAGTGCTGATGGAAGTGCCTCTCAGCCTGGAGGAGAAACGCAGCCTCCGGTAGGTGTCTGTGGTCTGGGCTGGGCTTCTCCCAGCCTGGGCTGCCCCTGATGCCTCCTGTGCTGGGCAGGAGGCAGCTGAGCCAGAAGAGGAGCACCCCGGGGCTACGCGCCCACTCTGCAGAGCCCACCTTTGCCTGTGCATGTTGGCAGGACTGCATCGTGCTTGTAAGTCTGCAGCACAGCGGCCGGAGCTGGTGGTGACGGAGGCTGTACAGCTGCAGGATGCCCTCACTATGTCTCCACCCTCCCCAGGGCTGCCGAACCCTCTGGTACAGGTTCCTGGCACTGGTCCATGCCGCACAGCCTTGGCACTACGCCTTGAAGCAGATCAGTGGCCGCTTTGGTTCCAGCGTGCTCTCCTATTTCCTCTTCCTCAAGACGCTCCTGCTGTTCAACATCATCTCCTTCCTCCTCCTTTTGGTTTTTGTGGTGGCCCTGCAAGCTGCCTATCCCCCTGCTGTGGCCAGCCCCCATCCCTTCACTGGCCTCGAGCTCCTCACCGGAGTGGTAAGTGCCACAGTGTTGGTGCCCTGCTGCCTGGGAGCTGCCCCCAGCCTGATCCCTGCTCTGTGTCCCTGCGTCTTATGCCATGGGGATGCCCTGGTCTGTGCCCTTGTCCCCAGTGCTGCCCCTGCCCACGGCACTGTGCCCTACAGGCTGATGCTGACCCCATACCAGGCTGGGCAGAGTGCAGCTGGCACCGGTGAGGTCACTACAGGTACTGTTGTGCATTTCCCCACAGGGCTCCTTCACTCACTCACTGCTGTACTACGGCTACTACAGCAACACCACCCTGAACGACCCCTCTGCCTCCAGCCCCAGTGGCAGCACGAGCCCCTCCAGAGCCACCCAGCTCCCATACAACATGCCACTGGCCTACATGTTCACCATTGCGGCCTCCTTCTTTGCCACCTGCATCCTGCTGATGTACAGGTGAGCAGCACTGCCAGCACAGCCTGACTGCCCAGCACTGCTGCCCTGACTGCCCTGTTGCCTCCTGCAGCATGTACCACTCCTTTCTGAAGAGCTACCGCGTGGGCAGCTCCACAAGGGTCCTGGCCATCAAAATCTTCTCTGCGTGGGACTTCAAGGTGGTGCAGAGGCACTCGGTGAAGCTACAGAGTGAGAACATCTGCACTCAGCTGAAGGTGAGGAGTGGGGTTGCAGTGCTACATGTATGCCAACCCTGTGCTGCACCTTTGTGCAGCAGCCCTCTAGGTCCCACCTGAGCAAGCAGGATAAATCCTTGCTTTAGATGGCAGCTTATGTTCTCAGCCACCCCGTCTGCTCTGCTGTCTTCCAGGAGCTGCTGGCAGAGCAGCAATTGCGCTCCTGCCCTCTGAGCCTCTCCCAGAGGCTGCGACACATCACTGTGCTCCTGCTTGCCTGGCTCCTGGCACTGGGCACAGTGCTGGGCTGCGTGGTGGCCGTGTACTACTTCTCAGAGCACATGCACACGGTAAGCACAGCGCCGGGTGAGGCAGAGCAGTGATGGCAGTCCCGCTGCACCTCCCTCTTGCTGTCAGCATTGTGCTTGCTGCTGGCAGCAGTGGGGTTGAGCCCATGGCTGGCACCAGGAACCATGCAGCCGTGCTGAGCCAGGCACCGCTCACCAGGTGCAGCAGGAACAGGGGGCTGCAGCAGGCAGTGCGTGGCAGCAGGAGGGAGTCCTGCTGGCCCTGCCGCTCATCGTGTCGCTCCTCAACACGCTGATGCCCCACTTCTACAACCTGCTGGCAGCATGGGAGAAGCAGGATTCCCCAGAGGCAGAGGTCTACGTGGCCATCTGCAGGTAGGGTGGGGAGCCTCCTGCACCCCAGGTTTGCTTCATCCCCCTTCCTCAGGGCTCAGCTCTGCTGTGCCTGGGGCTCAGGGGCTCCCCATCTGTGCTCCTGCTCCCCAGGAACCTCCTGCTGAAGATGGTGATCCTCGGCCTGCTCTGCTACCAGTGGCTAAGCCGCAGACTGATCTGCTCTGCCAAGGAGGTTGGTGCTGGCTGATAGTGCAGGGTTGAGCAGGGCAGGACGGGGATGTGTACCCTGCATTGCCCCTGGCCTAGGGTGTGCAGAGCAGAGCTGGGGCAGCAGTGTGGGCAGGGGTCTAGCAGTAGAGGCTGTGCTGGACAGCACAGTTGGCACCTGTGGTGGGGAGAGGTAGCTGGGGAAGGGGTGCAGAGAAGGAAGAAGTCCCCTACCCTTTGAACTCCCCATTAAGAGCCATAGAGGTGAGCAGCTGCGTTGTCTGCCTGGCACTACCATGCTTCTGTCCCCAGTGCTGGGAGACGTGTGTGGGGCAGGACCTGTATCGCTTTGTGGTGATGGACTTCATATTCACTCTGCTGGATACCGGTTTTGGGGAGCTGCTCTGGAGGTAATGTGTCCCAGGAGAGCCCACCAGCATGGCCCCTTGCTCCTTGTTCCAGCTGGGGTGGCTCTGCCTCAGCACACAGAGGCTCTGCAGCTGCCCAAGGATGATGGTTGGGTGCACAGCAGCTGTCAGCAGAACTCCTCTCACTTCCCAGGCTGATCCTGGAGAAGAAGCTGAAGAGTAAGCGGAGGCCTGAGTTTGACATTGCCCAAAATGTGCTGGAGCTCATCTATGGACAGACCCTGACCTGGTGAGACATTTCCAGCCTGATGTGGCTCATCCCCTGCCAGCCAGCGCTTGCGGTGCTCACTGCTGTGAGCCCTGCCTCGTGCCACCCAACAGGTCCTGGTGTGGGCAGCTGCAGAGGCTAAACATCCACCAGGGGTCAGTGAAACCTCTCCTGTCTGACCTGCTGATGTGTGGGATGTGCCACTGAGCACAGCCTCTGCAGCCGGCCTGGCACAGGACGTTGTGTGCTTGCTCTTGGCTTTGTGAAACTCTGAGTGCAGTTGGCACCACTATCCTGGCGCTCCTGAGCTCCAAATTGCCCTCCTAGGCAGCTTAGCTTGTCTCTCTCTCTCTCCAGGCTGGGCGTTCTCTTTGCACCACTCCTGCCAGCAGTGCAAGTACTGAAGCTGCTGCTGCTCTTCTACATCAAAAAGGTGTGATTGCGTCTGCCTGAGAGCAGTGCCCTCCTTGCAGAGGGGCAGAGATGCTGCTGGGGTCCCCCAGGTTTCAGCTCCCGGCTGATGTATGGGATGGGGACGTGAGGGGTGCAGCTGCCTGCACTCACTCCTGGGTCACATTGTGGGAGGTGACAGCATGCTGCTCCTTGCTTGCAGACCAGTCTGATGCAGAACTGCCAGTCCCCCAGCAAGCCCTGGCAAGCATCTCATATGAGTACTGTCTTCATCACACTCCTCTTCTTCCCATCCTTCTTGGGGGCAGCCATCTTTGTCTCTTACACAATCTGGTGGTGAGTATTCATGGGCACAGAGCCACCTGCTGCCAGGGGCAGCACCTGCAGGGATGGTTGGGGATGAGACCCCAACCCAGCTGATGGGGTCCAGCCCTTGCAATTCCTGTAAATAGGAGCCAGGGCAGAGCTTTATGTCAGGGGCATTGCCCGGCCACTGCCCTGTGCCCAGCCACCCACTCCCAAAGCAGCTTCCCACTGACTCGCTCTGCCTGCTCAGGGAGAAGCCATCAGAAACCTGTGGCCCCTTCCGGGGGCTTCAAACCATCTACCAAACACCGAAGGTCTGGGTGGAGCTGCTGGAGGAGTCCAACCCCAACATCGCCTGGTTCAGCTGGATCCCCCAGTACCTGGTGGAGAACACTGTCTTCCTGTTCTTTCTCTCTGGGATAGTGCTGTGAGTATGAGGCTGAACCCTGCACACACCTTTTGGGTTCCCCCTGCTGCTTCAGAAGCCCTAGGCAGAGAGACCGGAGCCCCAGTGACACCATCCCTGCACACCTGTCATTGCAGAGCCGTCATCTACTTCAACATCCAGGTGTTGAGAGGGCAGCGCCGGATCATCTGCCTGCTGGAGGAGCAGATTGCCAATGTGTGTGAGCTCTGTGTGCTCTGAGCCCCTGTCCCTGCAGCTCAGGGCAGTTCCCAGCCCCAGTGGCTCTGGGAAGAGCACATCCCACATGGCTGCTCACTGCAGTGTCTATGCTGTTACAGGAGGGAGAGGATAAAAAATTCCTCATTCAGAAGATTCACTCCATTTATGATCGTAAAGTGCACTGTGCTTGATGCCAGGTGAGGCTCAGACCCAGGGGAGAGTGCTGGGGGTCGGCAGGGATGGAGAGTCACTGTGCTCCCCTGCTCCGTGCTGGAGCTGGGGGATGGGAGTAGCACAGTGCCAAGCGGGGAGGGACTGGGACAGGGAGCTGGGGGGTGGTGGGGACAGGGAGAGCATCATCCCCGCTGTCAGCATGCAGCAGTGCTCTGCCCGCTGTGAATGACCCTTGGGGCCTCACGGGGACCTTCTCCTTTCAGTGTCACAGACCCAGGAAGGAGCAGGGCAGAACAGGACAGCTCACCAAAAGGGACTGGACCCAGCAGCTGTGTGGCATTGCGCTGGGAGCAGAAAACTACTGCACTTGGAATTGCTCTCTTGAAGCAGCCCAGGACTGCTGGGCAGTGCTGCAGCACAGAAATAAGGCTGCACCCCAGAGCCAGGAGCACAGCCCCACTGCTGTGTCCCAGCACAGCTCCATGGGACTGGCTTGCACACACAGCTGTGTTTACAAACAACTCTCCTTCATGCAAACTGCCTGGCTAGCCTGGAAAGCAGCACCTCGCAGCCTGTTGGAATGGAGGTGGTGAAGTTTTCTGCCTCGTGAAGGAAACCAGCATGGTGTGTGCAGTGAGCAGGGCCGTGCAGCAGGACGGGCTCAGAAAGAAACCAGCATTTCCCAGTGCTGCGTGGGCAGAGAACAAAAAGGCTCTGTTTGGGGCTGTCCCCTCTCTGAAATAACCATTAAACGTCCACATCTGGAGCCGCAGCAAGATGCTGTCTGTCACAGTGCCTGCACAGTGGAGATAAGGGAACAAAAACTAATCAGCACATTGCAGCTCACTGCAATTGAGGGCAGAGCAAGATATGCTTTTGCTGGGTGTAGCCGGAACCCAGGCAGCCAGCAGGGCTTCACCGAAGGCGTTCGGTGCTGCAGCACTGCGGGGGGTGGGGGGTGGTGGGGTGAGGGTGGGCAGGGGGGCTGAGCCATGTCTGTGGACTCGCAACGTCTCATCAGGTCACCCAGGTACTGGGGTGTGGGAGAATGGGGCCGGAGGCACTGGGGGGAGATGGGGAATGGGTTATGGGTGGTGGGAGGATGGGGGTGGTCAGGACCAGGGGGTCTGAGAGTGGGCTGAGGGCGGTGGGGGAGGACAAGACTGGGAACGGGCTGGAAGCGCTCAACCGGAAGTGGTGGGGAGGCTGAGGGGGGGGCAGGTTGGGGGAAGGGGGAAAGTGAGACAAGACAGGCAGCTGGGAGTGGGGGGTCCGTGAGCAGATTGGACCCGAGGGGCAGTGACAAGGCCAGGAAACAGCCCAAGTGCTGTGAGACGGGATCAGACGTGGCCGGGTCAGGGAGACGCCTGAACCGTTGTGGCCCTGCTCATGTGTGCTTTTCCCATGGCAGCACAGAGACTTTCTACTGCACCACAAAGGCTAATCTTCAGTCTGGGGTCCGGCGGGCCGCCCCTGGCACCAAGCTCCTGGCTCGTGGGGCTCCCAGGCAGGCCGTGACGCAGCACAGCAGCCAACTGTGCCCAGCTTCCTGTTTTCATAAAGCTCGCAGCCTGAGCGACATTCGTGAGTGTGTGAGGAAGTTCCGTGGCAAAATGGTGGAATTTAAAAAGCAGCCCCAGTTCCGCCTGCGGGTCGGGGGCCTGGAGGGCTCCTTCTACGAAGGGCAGGAGGAGCTGAAGGAGTACTGTGAGGTGCTCTACCTGCCACAGCCCACCAAGATGGAGGTGGTGGGCACGGTGGATGATGTGCCCTGTCTAGCCACGGGGCAGCAGCTTGTCATCCTCATTGCTGAGAGTTTGGAGGTGTATGCTTACGAGGAGGAGACGCTACACAAAGTTGCCAAGAATATGCAAGAATTCACAAACATAGGGCTGCAGCACCTGGGGAAAGAAGTCTACCACTGCGGAGCGAACGTAGACTCACTGGTGAGCTAGAGGGTGTGGGTTAAAGCCAAGGAAAGATACAGCCTGAGGGGGGTGGATGTCTGGGTCAGCTATGGGACTGATCCCACCTACATCAGTTCCTAACTGCTCCTGGGTTGCTCTCCTAACAGGGTGAGGCGGAGCGAGACAAAGACCCAGCAATCCAGCAGCTGAGGCAGAGTGCTCAGCACTTCCTTGAGGGAGGGAAGGAGGACTTCCAACTTCTCCTGGACTTGCTGTAGAACAAAGCCGTTGTTGCTTGTTGAATCTGTGTGTGTGTGACAAGGGATTGGCTGGGGTGGAACTGAGCTGTGTCCCCAAGTATTTAATCTGCCTTACCTTTAAACAATTTCAGGGGCGGTGACTCCAGCCCCTCCCTGGGCAGCCTGTGCCAACAGGTCATTTCTGAGAAATTCTTCCTCATATCCAGCTTGGAATCACTTCATACCATCACCTCTCGTCCTATTGCTTTTGTGTGGAAGCAGAAAACAACTCCCACTTCGCCACAAACTCCTTTCACAGAGCTGAGGAGACTGATAAAATCTCACCTGAGCCTCCACCAGATTAAATCTCAATGGATTTGCCCTTAAAATTGCACTTTTAAAGGTTAATCATTGTGTAAGCCTGTGTCCTGAAGTGAGATTTTTCTTGCACAAACACAAAGCTTGTTTTAATCAAAGATTAAAGATTTTAAATATACAGGATTTTGACTCATTCTTTTTAAAATATGTTGAGTGTGACAAACGTTTTGTTCTGCTGTGGTGCTAGCCAGCTTTCAGTCCTATCAGCAGGGGCTTTTCCAGCTTCCCCATCGGCTAAGTGATAACAGAATCAAGAGGAGCTTCAAAGATTACTTCATGCAGGCTGTCCAGTGAAGCTGAACCTGTCCTCATCTCAGGAGAGGTGACAGACAGGGAGCCAGGGCTGTGGCTCCATACCAGGGTCAGCATGCTCCAGCTCCCAGCAGTGAGCACTCCCTTGTTTAAAGCCCCCTGAGAACTGCTTGCTGGGTGGGCACAGCAACTCTCTCACTCCCCCCATATAGAGCAATGGGCAAAATTGGAAAGATACAAGCATGAGAAATAGAGTTGACATAAAGCCAAGTTACCAGGTAAATCAGACCTCTGTAGGTCGAATCACCCTCACACAGGTTTCCCAGAGCAGACTGCATCTAGGTGGGTTCAGATATTTCCCCATGCTCCAGATGAGGCCTCCTCAGGGCAGAGCAGTGAGGACGAGCACCTCCCTTGCCCTGCTGGCCTTTCTCCTTCCTTACTCCCGCATGGTGCCACATGGCATTGAATATCCCTTCGGTCAGTAAGGGTCAGCTGTCCTGGCTGTGACACCCACTTCCAAGCAGCTCTACGGAGACCTGCACCCAGGACTTGGCACACCAACACCAGAAGAGTGCAGAGGGCACACCCTGCTTGTCCCGACAACGATGTGTCTCTTAGATTTGAGTTTCATTTATGGAGAAACGAAAGTGCAAAGAGCTCGGCCACTCCCTTGCGCGGCTCTCCCATTGCACACTACTGGGGAAGTGCATTCTCAGAGCTGCCATATCAGCAGCGGGTCTAGAGGCACCGGGTTGAAGCCAACGCCGTGTCTCCCAGTGGCTGAAGGCAGCGCAGACTCTAAGGGCCCTTTGCTTCTTCCAAGTAAGTGCTGCTGCTTGTATCTGTATCTCTGTCAAGGGGTTTGTCTATGCTTGCTGGGAGAAGGGCAATGGGATGGCATGGGAATGACCGATGTGCACAGCAAAGTGGCCCCATCCCAAAGCTGGTTGCTGTGAGCTGCACGTGGCATGGAGGACACTCAGCTTTGGTGATCCTCACCTTGCTGCTCTGCTGACTGCTCTGACCTCACTGCTTTCCTACAGCTCCATAGACAGGAACCCAAGAACTGCAGTACAGGGCTCTGCATACTCAATGGACCAAAACCAGGTGGGTGAAGCCTGTCCCTTTTCTTTGGGAGACATGGAGAGATGTTCTCACTTGGGGACTGCTGCTGGCCACTCTGTAGCATCTTGGCCAGCAGGTAGCAGTGGTGCCATCTAGAGATGCTGAGGGACACCCCAAGTCCACGCAGTGCCATTAGGTGTGCAGTGGGGTTGGGGGGTCCGTGCAGCACTGCACCACTGAGTTTCCTCTCCCTCCCACAGGGTCCTGGCCATGCTGCTGGTCAAGACCGTTCAAGGTAAGATGGAGCCTCACATCTCCTGTGCCCCTTTCCCTGGCCATATGGGGGGATGGCTGCTTGCCCCACAGCTGGGGGTAACCCCATCACAGCCACCACGTGCTCCTTTTTGCTGCCACAGGATTTTGGCAAGAAAAGAAGAGAAAGATAAATTCCAGTTGCAGATAAGTGGGAATCTTTTCATCAAGCAGTTCCTGGAATTGCTGACTAGGTGGCAGCCAGCTGAAAACATCAGAAAGCAATACATGGAAAAGGTCAGTGCTTCACAACCAACCTGATGGCCCTTCTGTGGCCTCTGCACTGCTGTGCATCCCATCCGAGGTGGGGGAACTCTGGTGGCATAGCCCCCACAGCAGTGGCTCCATTGTGGGTGTGAGGGTCTGCAGGGAATGGAGTGGGAGCCCGGGTCTGTGGGCTCCCACTGCTCCCTGCTTGTGCAGGGAGCTGCTGCGTGGTGTGGAGAAACTGCACGGAGCACAGGATGCAGAAAGGGGCCACGTGAGGCAATAGGGAGCAGCTCTGGGGGAGGGAGCAGCCGTGGCAGAGGCCAGCGCAGAGGCTCTACTGTGCATCCAGGGACAGCTCAGCACTGGGTCTCTGCTTGCCAACAGGTGCTGCACACAGTGTTCTTCTTTGGAAGGCTGAATCAGAGGCAGATGAGACCCAACGAATTCCTAGACTCCCAATCTTTCCAGAGACTGCAGGAGAAGTACCCCCGGTCATTCCAGGAGTACGACACCCACCTGCCCAGCCTGACACCATACTCCATTCTGCTGCAGTTTGTGAGTACTCCACACCTACATGGTGCCAACAGCAGGGCTCGGGTAGGACAGGTGTGTGAAAAATACAGCACACTACAGGCACATCCTGGCAGTGCAGCCTAGCAGGCAGCAAAACAGGCAGCAGGACTTCTATCTTCCACTTTTCAAGTCACCATGAGCTGTACACACCAGCTGGTGCTAACAAACTCAGGGAGACAGAACTATTTCTAAGTTTATCTTTTACGACCACACTCACCCCCTCTTCCTGCAAGATATCGTGTCCTGGGGAGTGAAAGAGGCAAGGAGGGGTCTGTACTGAGATCTGTGTATGTTCCCAGGGCAACGAAGTAGCAGGCTGCAGCACCCAAGAGGAAATGGAGTCTTTCTTGCATGAATTTAATAGCGCTGTGCAAATAACAATAGAGCATCGAGTACCCATCCTGAAGCCCAATGAGTTCATCTTCAGAGCCACAGTTGTCACTTACAGCTTTTACAGAGAACCCAGAAAACCTAAGAATGAAGCAGGCTTCCCTCTCTTTTATGGAGCATCCCTCTCCTGCAAAGGGCTGATGGAGAAGAAGATCATGATTAGCATCCTGTGCCTAAAAATATGGCACCGGGCGGTGGCGTTTGCAGTGTATCATGGGCAGGATAATCTGGCCATTGTCTTCCCTGATGGAGTGCAGTGCCAAGCCTTCCGCTATAGCAATGGAACCTTCATAGAAAAGCCACCCTGCGTGAACTGCAGGATGATGTACCACGTTGACTTCCAGCCGTATGAGGGTGACACCAGGGAAAATGTCCCATGGCTGCGTGGAAACTGCGCTGAGAATGAGAGCCTGAGCAAGCTGCTGCAAGGCGTGCTGGGGCTGCAGGAGAGGGTCGTATCAACAGATACTTCTATGATAAATAATTCCCCACAGAACACCTACCAGGCCATTGAGGAAGAGTTTGAAAACAACATAGAACCAAATCTTAGAGATCAGCTTATCAGGCTGCTTCAGCACAAAAATTTTCCTCATCATCTGCAGTTTTTTGAACCATAGTGAGTGACAGAGAGGCATCTGCAGTGCTGTGTATCAGCACAACACCCCCAAGCCCGTCTTCCTGCATACTCCCATGGATCACCCCACTGAGCTATGGATGCTGCAGGGCATCTGAGGTCAGAGCAGCTGGGAGCCCCAAGCACCTGCAACCACTCCTGCCCCAGAAGGTACCAGCATGGGAGGGATAGAGGGCCGTCTCACTCCACCTTTATGCTGCCCCCAAACCCAGCTACATGCTCGTGCCAGCAGGTTCTGCTCAGCCGGGGTGAGGATGCAGCCTGGTTCCGTGTCCTGACAGCAGCACAATGATTTGCCCCTTTGACTCCAGCACACAGAGCTCTGCTTTTCACCTCTGTAAATAAACATATGTCTGATTTTTGGTTACATACCTGATGATTTGCAGAAGTGCCTGTACACTGTGAAGCCCTCTCCTTTCACCTTTGTGTGGCTCCAGAGCCGACAGTCTCGCCTTCAGGGACCATCAAATTTCGGAGCTCCATCTTGCTCTGGGTGCAAGCAGCCAGCAGGGCCCTCCTGCAGGTGGCACTCCCTCTGCTGGGGTCTCACAGCCTGTAGGGGAAGGGCAGCGTGCTCCGAGGCACCCTGAGAAGTGCTGCAGGATTGCTTGGAGACAAAGATCTGCTGCAGATGCAGACAAAGATGGCTTGGGTTTCAGTTTCGGTTTTACTATGAAGTACCGAGGAGCTGCTGCCTGCCATCAGTCTGTCACACTGCACAGGTGCTGGGGCCAGGTCAGCTAGGGTCCCTGAGGGTGGCCTGAAGCCACTGCAGGACATCAGCCAGGCCGGTGCCATCGCGTGCACTGGTTTCCAGAATGGTGATGGGCTGCGTGGCACAGGACACAATGTCCTGCATGCGGAACAGCGACTTCATCTCCACCAGTGACATGTAGCAGGGCAGGTCGCTATGACGGGAGGGGACACACATTAACCACACTGCATTAACCTCCCACCCATAGCAGCACCCCACTACCACGGCCCATCGGCCCCTCAGGCTGCTGGAAACAACACAGGAACTGCAGCACCCTGATGCCCTCCTTACATCTTGTTGAAGAGGATCAGCACGGGCACGGCGGCGAGCTGCTCTGCAGAGAGGAGGGACAGCAGCTGGACACAGGATGAGGAGACTTGGGTCGGGTTGGCGGCATCGATCACGAACTGCGGAGAGGGACGGAAGAGGCGCTGGGGGGGTCCGAGGGGAGCAGTTCCACCCCGCAGCGCGGCCGGGCGGGCGCTCACCAGCACGGCGCTGCACTCCCCGTAGTAGCTGGGCCAGATGGGGCCCATGCAGCCGCCCAGCTCCCGCAGCGTCACCCTCTTGTGCAGCGTCAGGTCCGTCAGGTTCGTGCCCACCGTGGGCATCGTGGCCGGCGGTTCGCCCAACTCCTTGGCCCCGTCCCGGGAGCACAGCTGTGCCGGTGCGTTAAGGACGGGCCAGAAGCGGCGTGCGGCACACCCCCACCCCGGCCCCGCGCCCCGGGACCCCCCAGCTCGCTCGGATATTGCGAAGCCGCTTCCCCAGCAGGCTCTTCCCGACGCCCGTCGCCCCCAGCAGCAGGCACGTGCCTCCGGGCCGCGCAGCGCCCGCCATCCCCGCCCCGCCGGAAGCAGCGAGCGCCCCCACACCGGAAGGCGGAAGTAGCCGAAGCCGGAAGTGACCGCGGGCAGGGAGAGGGGCGGCCCGGCGGCGATCACCATGGGGCGCGGCGGCGGCACCTTCGAGCGGCTTCTGGGTAGGGACTGAGTCTCCCCGTGGGACGCGCCTCCCGGCAGGGCCGACCCCGCGCGGCTCAGCCTCCTATAGCGGGGCGGCCCGGGCCCAGGCGCTGTGGCTGGGCCGATCTGCGGCGGCGACGGCGGTGGGGGGGGGCGTGGCGGGGCCCGGGGTTGCGGATCCCCACGGGAAAACCGGGGCTTTGTCTGCAGCCGAGCGCTGCCCTGGGGCATCGCGGCCGGCACCTCGGGGGTTTCAATCGGGCCCTGCGGCCGCCGCTTGCAGCAGCCTGAGAGGGGTCGCGGTTCTTTGCAGATAAAGCCACGAGCCAGCTCCTGCTGGAGACGGACTGGGAATCCATCCTGCAGATCTGCGACATGATCCGCCAGGGAGACACGCAGTAAGCGCTCCTTTTGCTTGGGTTTAAGCTGTGAGCACAGATCTGCTTGCGTGCGGAAGGTGAAACATGGAGGTCTCACTTCTGTCAGCCCGCAGCAGGATGCTGCTCACTGTGCTATTTCAGAAAGGCAGTAAGATGCAGCACACCTCAGTGTTCTGTAGTCCCCTTCCTGATCTTAGTAGCTGCAGGTTATATCTGGCCTGAAATCAGTAGAGAAGCTCAAGCTTGGATACACTCATTCCTCCTCCCATTTATCCCTGTGGGGAATTGGGTGCACCATGAGCTAACTGTACTCTTCTGTTACTGGGAGGGTGATAGATTATCCTTGTAGATTCCTCTTTACCTGGGCACATGTGCTCTTTTTCCTTATCCAGAGCAAAATACGCAGTCAACGCTATCAAGAAGAAGGTCAATGACAAGAACCCCCACGTGGCACTCTACGCACTGGAGGTAACTTCAGCCCAAACATCTCATGATTTAGGGGCCCAATTCACAGTCCAGGGGACTTCCCATCTCTTCCAAGCCTGCCTTCTGCTCTAGTGTGGAGGCTTCAAGAACGATTATGTTTTTCATTCAGCCTTGGAGCGAGCCTTTGAGAGACTATCTCTGTAGATCTGTCTGCTTGCCCCTGGGTTATTAAATAGCTGTGGTATAAATAACACTGAAATTGAAGCATAGCTTATGCTCCAGTCTCATGGTGTGGATTTCTCCAAATTGATGCTTCCTTAACTGAAATTTATTTAAATACTGCCCCCTTTGTGCACCTGCTGCAAGAACCCGTAACTGGTGCTGAAACACAGCTTTTTTGTTCTTTCACTGCAAACCACAGAGTAGGAAGAAAGCAACAGGTTAATGCTGTCCTTTGCACTTGCAGGTTATGGAGTCTGTGGTTAAAAACTGTGGTCAAACAGTTCATGATGAGGTAGCCAACAAACAAACTATGGAGGAACTGAAAGAAATACTCAAGGTAAGTGTATGTTATTTTACTTCAGTTTTTGAATGAAGTTGCAAGAGAGGCAACGAAAGGAAAAAACGTGCATGTTCTGTGTTTCATTCTCTGTGTGTAAGGAACAAAAGGGAAACTGGAAATCTTTTTCAGATAAAAGCAACCTGTTTAATACAAAGGGATGAGTGTAGAGAGCTGATTGGTGCCTGCTGGGGAGAGAAGATATCATGAGAGCAGAGAATGTTTGGTTATACCATGGGTAGGATTATGCTGTAAAGTCACAGACTGTTTCATGGTAGGTCCTGTTGTGAATTCCCTTCCTATAGACCAGGGTAAGGCATGCAGGAAGGTAAGCAGCGTGGTGAAAACTGACGGAAGTTTCATCTTTACTATGGCCTTTTCATTGGCCTGTGGAACTGGCCCGAGGAGTTCTGCAGGACATGGACCTGTATCACTTGTCAGTGCGATAACGTGATGCCTGCAGGAGTTCCTTATGTCCCAGGACTTGAGACTTCCAGAAGTGAGGTGCAAATAAGAACCTGTGTCTTCAGTTCCCAGTCCCAAGAACAGCAGTGCACAGACAAGAGCTTGTTAGAGTGATGCTGTTACTTCTTTATAGTCCCTACCTTCTGCCAGAAATAGACGAGCAGATGACCCAGATATTTATGGAATGAGCTGTGCTAGTCCTGACATCTTATGCAACGTAGCAGAGCATCTCTCTTCTGTCATTTTCCTGTTGGGGGCTGACTCAGCCTTCATACATTATCTGCTGTTGAACTTGGAACACTGCCACAATGTGAAGGCCAGGTGTAGCAGTGTAGCCACTCCAGGCTCTGAAGAGATCAGACCAGGCTGGACTGAGAGATTTTTGTGAAGCTCTCCAGTCCTTACCTGCCTCAGCAGTTTGCAGACTCATTTTCATCCTACACTGGGAACATTGCTACTTGTGAACACCTAATGCTGTTTAAAATTACCTTTGTTCTGATGAGGCTCAGGGCTGTGCCATTTGTGGAAAGCAGGATTTTGACAATTCTTCTATAAGTTTGGAGCAACAGGAACTATCACTAAGTCACGCTATGTCAGCTGAAAATAGGAACTTGACAAAAAATTTCTCAGCTGAAACAGGAACTTGACAATGCCTCTCTGCTTCCTGGGTGACTTCTGGAGAAACTGGTCATGTGAGCAGGCCATGACTTGGTCAGCTGATGACAGGGTGCACTTACAGGCTGGCTGGGATAGGAATGGGCTTGCCAAGTTTCCTCTGTTCTTGAACTGTGATACAACTGCTCCTGCCTCCAAAGGGCAGGCTTCCCAGCTGTTCTTATTGCATCATATCCAAGCTAGCTTTGAGTACTAATGGGCAGGAGTCTCTAAGCTGGAGCTGCTGACAGCTTGGCACAAACAGCCTCCTGCTTTGTGTTTGTGCTGCCCTATCAGAACTAGGGTGAATCAGATTGTGCTGTCCTGTCCAGCTGGATAGCTGTCACTCTTGCAGGTTTTGGAGTGCAGGATGATCAGCTCTTGTGAGAAGGTAAACAAGAATGCTGGCCAGCCAGTGCTTATACTTCCCTTGGGGAACAGCTCTATGAGCCTCTGTAGATGTTTTCCAGAAGCATTATGACACTACACCCTTTTTCAAGTTGATTTGTGCCATTCTGAAGGGTGTCCTGTTTATGCTGAAGTGAGAAAGTGAGAAAGCTAGAGGAGATGCAGTCCTTGCTGTAAGCTGTTCTGCTTGCAGCTTGCTGGCAAAGTACTCCAAGTTCCTCTATGAATAGTATTTGATTCCTCATCTGTGTTTCAGAGACTTTTTCCTCAGATTTCTTTTTCTCTTTCCCCTTCTGTACAGAGGCAAGTGGAAACAAGTGTCCGCAGTAAGATTCTGAACCTTATCCAGGCCTGGGCTCACGCCTTCCGCAATGAGCCCAAGTACAAGGTGGTGCAGGACACCTATCAGATAATGAAGGTTGAAGGTAAGGATGCTGGGGGCAAAGGTGGGCGAACAGTTGCCAAGCAGATCTGCTTTGGAGGAGCTTTGCAGAAGGAGTGGGCTTTAGGTCTCAGCTAAGCGTTGGTGGAATCTGGACTTAAGATATTCCACATGCAGGAGAAGCCTCTCACAATGGAACGTTGTCTATTCTCCCACAGGTCATGTGTTTCCAGAGTTCAAGGAAAGCGATGCCATGTTTGCTGCAGAAAGGGTGAGCTTCACTACTGGGGAGAGAGCTGGCATGGCAGGGCAGACCTTGCTGTCGTAGCTCAAGAGATACTACACCTTCAGTTCTTGCTTTCTTCTATTTCACTCAGATTAGAGACCTTGACTGGGTGCATATTGCTCCCATCTATTATTTGGGTAATTCTAAATACAGCAGTTTGGCCTAAAATGGCTAAGAGGGAGGGGACAGTTGACCCTGTCCTGGTCAATTAGTTTCATCTTGTTAAGTGCCCGTAGACAGATCAATACAATGGGAAAGGCATTACAACAAAGGTGTGGCAACAAAAGGACTGGCATAATAGAGAAGTGCTATAAAGCAAAGGAAGAAGATTGCTCACCTGTATCAGAAGATTCTAGGTTCCCAGGGAAAAGCTTCACTAAGGAAGGATCTCCAGAAAGAGATCTTTCCCTAGTGGCAGCCAGCCCTTAAATGAGGTGTAAGAGAAGTGCAGCCAGGCTCCACCCCTTCTGGTCGCACCGCTGAATTGCCTTCACCTGTGCTCCCAGGGCTGACCAGGTCCTTTCCCCAGGTGCTCAATCAGTAGTTCAGGCCAGGACTCAAAAGTTATCATACATGCCCCACAGAAAGGACCTACTCAGTGGCTTTCCAGTAGCATGGCAAACTGAAAGTGGTAGCAGGGCACGGCTGAAGTGATTGCTGTAATCCTGCTGACTGGGAAAGTGTCACAGTCTAGTAACACAAGAGGTGACCGCTTGCAAGGACCAGTATCCTGTAGAGCTGCACATGCTTTTTTCCTGCCTCATTCATGACAGCTTGAGTTAGTCAGAGGAGATCCTGAAAGGCTCTGTGGAGCCACCATCCTTGAGACATTGCTTCCTTCCTCACACAAGTTTCTTCAAACCCAACAGGCTCCAGACTGGGTGGATGCTGAGGAGTGTCACAGGTGTCGAGTGCAATTTGGTGTGGTGACACGGAAGGTGGGTGCTATTCTGCCTTTCTGGGTTCCCTGGCCTTTTGCAGCCCCTCTAGAAAGTACGAGACTCCTTGAGCCTGTGTGGGTGGGAACATGCTCCTGTCTGAGTGAACTTGTCCAGTGGTGAAGAAGTGTCTCACTACTACACTGGTCTCCCATCTTTTCCAGCATCACTGCAGGGCCTGCGGGCAGATCTTCTGTGGCAAATGTTCTTCCAAGTATTCCACCATCCCCAAGTTTGGGATTGAGAAGGAAGTGAGAGTGTGTGAGCCCTGTTACGAGCATCTCAACAAGTCAGTACCCTTTGTGGCATGTTTTTTTTTTTTTGCTTTCAACAGTTGGTACTGTGAGGGGAGAAACTTGGCATGGAACCATCTCTCCAAAGACCAGTGCAAAGGGTTTCCCAAGCTTCGCAGGCTGTCTGGGTTTTGTTCCTTCTGAGAGTGGGCTTTACAGCTGTAATGTTGTGCAGAACTGGGGCTCCAGTGCTGAGGA